TAATAAAGGATTATATGATTTAAAGAAAAAAAAAATGATAGACTTCAGTAGATCCTACTAATTTACTTTAAAATCTTTACCTTTTTACATTCTCCTTGATAAATTCTTACAGACTCTGGAAGGAATAGCTCCTTAATCACTGGTAATGCACTTCAAATAGTCCTATCATTTGAAATAATTGTTCTTAAAACGGCATTTCTGTTGGCCCGATATCCTACCTGAGCTTATTTATTATATATTCTCTTCGTTCTCCTGACAAGAGCCAGTGCTTGTCTTGTAGGCAGACCTGCAAACCCAAAGGCAAGCTTTATTTATTTATTCAGATGACAATCAACAATGCACAGTGGTGACTGAGTTCTAGGTTTAGGATGTATACCTCAGAGAGTGCGTCAGCTAGGTCACTAATATGTGCCCTTGACACTCTTTAACGTTTCCCTGTGTATGGTAGCCTCTCATTTTTCCATTTAGAAATTTTTCCTTCATCTTTAAGTATCTTTTAATCCCTGTATTTCTCCTCTGGTTGTGACTTCTGTTTGTTCTTCTTGGCTTCCTCCAGGGTCCACCCTCAGATCAGCACAATCGACTAGTTCTGAACCTCCATGTTTCTCCATCTGTTTCTACCCCTCCAAAAGAAACCCCAGAGTTGAAAATCCAGGTTAGAGAAATGTTCTCAAGATACAATAAGAACAACTTTAGTTTTGTATTCCAATATATTTCAGGTACAAACTACAAACCCAGGTGCTATGGGTTAAACTCTAATGCTCTTAACATCTATAGGAATTTTGCTGTTCACTGTAACAGCACTGTGTTTTGCTAGGACCCTAGCTTTTGTCCTCAGAGTGCAAGGCTTCTTGAGGTAATCATAGAATCATAGAATGGTTTGGGTTGGAAGAAACCTTAAAGATCATATCATTCCAACCCCCTGACATGGGCAGGGACACCTCCCACTAGACCAGGTTGCTCAAAGCCCCATCCAACCTGGCCTTGAACATCTCCAGGGATGGGGCAGCCATAGCTTCTCTGGGTAACCTGTGCCGGTATCTCACCACCCTCTCACAATAAGGAAATTCTTCCTAATATCTAAAGAATGTAGTGATAGGACTAGTAGGACTAAAGAGTCCCTCCCAATCTTTCATGTAGGCTCCCTTTAAGTACTGGAAGGCTGCTAGAAGGTCTCGCTGGAGCTTTCTCTTCTCCAGGCTGAACAACCCCAGCTCTCTCAGCCTGTCTTCATAGGAGAGGTGCTCCAGACCTCTGATCCTCTTCATGGACCAACTCTGGACCTGCTCCAACAGGTCCATGTCCTTCTTATGTTGGGGGCTCCAGAGCTGGATGCAGTACTCCAGGGGGGGTCTCACGAGAGCGTAGTAGAGGGGCAGAATCACCTCCCTCATCCTGCTGGCCACGCTTCTTTTGATGCTGCCCAGGATGCAGTTATCTTTCTGGCCTGTGAGGGCACATTGCCAGCTCATGTTGAACTTCTCATCAACCAACACCCCCAAGTCCTTCTCAGGGCTGCTCTTGATCCATTCTCCACCCAGCCTGGATTTGTGCTTGGGATTTCCCTGACCCACGTGCAGGACCTTGCATGATGATTTTGGGCTGCTTCTTAAATGTTTTGTACATGCAGAGCTACCAGTAAAATCTGTCAGGACCTTGCCTGCGTTCAGTTTGTAAGATCTGATCAGTTACTAGTTCATCCCTTGCAGTACAAAGCCCTGTGTGCTGCAGTTGGTCTGTAAACGTGTCTCATCTGCCAGTGCTGTGAATTAACACTGCAGAGCATACAAGTAGCAGTTAAGAAGAATTTGCAGAGATCATAATGCTGTGTGCAAAAAACTGGTGTGCTGTTTGTCTGTTTGTAGGAAGTTTTAAGGACTGGATGTTTGTTTAAGCTCTGCTCTGAATCCCTGAGCAAAAATTACTGGGATTGCAGTAAAGATTTCATAGAGCTCCCCACATCTTCCTCTTTAAACCCTTCTAAAGATTATTTGAACTTTTTTTTTAATATCTCCATGTTTACATGCAAGAGTTTCACATTTGATCAAGTCTTATTAACTCCATATGTTGCAAGGAGAAGTCTGAGTTTGTTTGTTTAAGCCTCAGTTAAAGGAAGTTGTATCTTTAAATACCGTACAGCAAGCCTGGAAGAGCTCCACGGAGGGGAAAGCACAGCTGTTCCATCATGGTCCGTCATGCTTTCCATGTGTCCCGTAGGCAATATCTTTCTTAAACTCATCTTGTAAAATTACCCAGTTCCTTATGCTTCTGCATCTTTGGACTCGAGGTAGTAGGTAGGGCTTTGGATTTTTTTTTTCTCCACTTTTCCCCTTTACCTGGCCTGCATCTTAGAAATCTGTCATGGCATGCTCTCATCTCATCTGATCCCTCATCAGTGTAAATGTCAGTCCATTTTTCCTGCAGCCTCTACTATCCAGCTGTAGTTTTCAATTAAAGCATTAACAGAAAAACAGAAATTGCTAAAAAAGTTGTTGACTTGCTTCTGACTCCCAATAATTAATTTTTCTTTGGGGTTAGACCCTGCAAAGTACTGAATAGCTGTCAAAGGCATGTTCGAACTCAGTCTTCTGCCTCACATGACCTCCTTCTTCTAAAGGAATGAAAAAACCCCACTCGCATTCAATGACATTAATGAGAATTTTTCCCCCTGCAAACACATTGTAACTGTGAAATAACATTAAAGTTTCTCTGCCTTGTTATGAAGTCTTTAAATGTCAATGCCATTTCTGAGACCATCAGGGCAGATTTAATGGCGGCCAAGGTCAACAAATGCTAACTGGTACCTCTCTTTTAGGGCCTTCAGGGACTCTTAATAGAGTCTCAGCCATGAAGTTAATTTGCAATGTGGGCCTTTATTCTTAAACCTGCTCATGATGATTATTTTGTACCATCTTTATTCGTGTGCTTAGATTTCTTCACATTCTTTTGTCTTTCAGTCAATATAACAAACTGCTAAAATAAATAATAAATTCTCAGTTATTTCATCTTTTGAGTCTTCTTTTTTTTGTTCCTTTTTCCTTCTGTTTATGGGCTGCAGAAGGGTAGGTGTATGCTTTCTGTAGACCACCCTAAGCTGCTAGCTCTGATACGATTCTCTAAGAATACCTTCAGGTCTGTCACTTTCTGCTGTCTTAAGGGACTGGGAAACTGGCCACCATGAAAGCTTTTTTCGTTAGTGCCCTAAATGCTTTATTAGTAGAAGCAGGTGAGGTGGGAAATGAGAGACAGAGTGTAAACACAGTATTCTCTTACTTTCCCTTTTCTGTTATATTCCTTCTGGTGGCTTGTCATCCCTTTATGTATTGTCTAATTTAGATTAAAAGGGCTGTGTAGCCTTTATTTGTCTAGAAAATACTGCAGACAAGGATGGCATGCTACAAATAATAAATAACAAAACTCTGTCTTTTTGGCAGCATGTTGCATTTCTGCTCAGTTGCCCTGCCAGCCCCTCTGACTTTAAAATATTTTAATGTCCTGCACTTTTCACCCAGTCCAAGCACCAGACTTTCCTCAGACATTTAGCACTGACATTAATGCAAATGCCTCCAACTCATTGGGCCCTTTGGGGCAAAACATGACATCCTTGGCTTTCAATCACATGGCAGAGAGGATATATTTGTATCCACAAAACTGGAAATAATAAAATATCAGTATTCAGGTGCTAATTCACGTTAATTTACATTCTGTGAAGTCTACAAAAACTTGTAATTGGTTGTCTTGAAGGGCAGCAGAGTGTATTTGGTATTTTGTTTATTTATAAAAAGGAATTTAAATTATACATATAAACACTGCATAGATTTGGGTTATATCTCTCTTCTAATCATCACGGGATGCTTGCTTGCATTCCTAAGTTCCTAAGTACTAGTATTTTGGGGCTGACTGTCTTCCACTCTGTGTGGACAATGCCTATCTATTGCAAACATTGCCAGAGTGCAAATAATACTTTCCATCAGTGGATACCAAATTACCCTGCAAAACCACTTTCACTGCAGTGGTTTTGTTATCTTTAACAAACCTGGCTTCCGTAATTAAAAAAAATTAGATCTTTGTGAAAGGTCCCAAAGGCTGGAGGAGTTTAAATTCAGTATGTTATTGAAGTTAATGCACGGGTCTAGCAACAGAAATGCGAGTGACTGATTCACTGCTGTTCTGATGTGTATAATATCTCAAATGCTTGACTGCCTAGATGAACCATAGTGCAAAGATACTCCAGGATATAAGTAGGATTTTGATGTCTGTTGCATAATATCCACGAGTATAACAAAACCACTAGAATTTGCTTGCACTGGGTTGACAAATGTGAATTACAGTTGCTTGCTTTCTTCAGAGTTTTATCAGAGTATAATCACTTGCCCAGCTTAATTGAAAAATCACTTACGTTTATAGCTGAATTTAAACATGTTTTGTATTTAAATGACAGCTTTTGATGTACAACCATTTTTTACAGAAAGTAGTTGGTTTTTATCTGTGTTTCTGTAAAGATATTTCAAAAACTCTCATCAAATTTCCAGCGGTAAGTAATATCCCATTCAGTGCAAGGTGAAATGTTTTACATCAAATCTCCTGCTGTGTAATGGCCAATCAACGAGTATTTATAGTGGCTGAATGGATATTTTGGCTCGGTATTCAAAATTAAACATTTTCAAACATTAACATTTAATGTTTTTTTTGCCACTCTTCAAGTTGATTTTATGTAACCCTAGATGCTCAGAACTACTCGATACTCTAAAGCGACTCATTTTATGCTGAGGATCCTGCAGGCAGTAGTTTTACATTTATTATAGTTGTGTAGATGCAATGAAATGTAGATTTGACAGCAGATTTGGGTCTGTCTTCTGATAAACATTTCCTCAGGTTTGGCTGTATGTTCATCAGCATGATGCAGCAAGTCTATTTCTGAGAAAACACATTTACCAAGTGAAATTAATAAGCAAAGATAAATTTCGGTAATTCACACGAAATTGTTTTTCTTATTGCAGGTGTCCAGTAAGAAGAGCTCTTGCCAACAGCCATCTTTGGAGCTAGATGGTTCCTACTTGGGTACTGGGGGACCTCAAACTTTTTATAAGAACAGCAGAGCATCAAAGGCGGGAAGCCCAGCCCGTGTCGTGTTGTCTCAGCAGTGCAGGAATAATCACGGTTACGGGACTGAAATCCATTACAACCATCAGGAGCGTCTGAAGGAGTATCCGGTGGAAAATGACTTGCACAGAAAGTGTAACAATATGATTTCCCCAGCCAAGCAGAGGAGCCCTCACTGTGTAAAACCAGCTCAGGAGGTGGACCGGAAAGCAAATGAATTTCAGAACACATGCCCCCAGCAAGTGAGTCACGGCTGTGCCTGCAGGCATGTAGGGAGCTCAGGGAGCGTGCAAGAGAGCCATCGTGTCAGCCAGGCACTTAGAAGACACTCTGGGCCAGTTCACAAAACCTGTGATTATTCTAGGTGCCCTCGAGTTTCTGGTCTGAATGACAGCGTGGACTCAGGGCCTAAAGAAACAGAGCAGGCTAAAAGGTTGTATGAAGAAAGAAGGCAGAAGCTCCTTCTGCAGAAAATGGAGCTGGAAATTGAAAAGGAACGACTCCAACATTTATTGGCTAAGCAAGAAGCAAAACTGCTCCTAAAACAACAGCAACTACACCAATCCCGTATGGATTATAACAGGTGATTTTGAGAGTTACAATTTTTAAAAAATTTCTAACATGGGCAATAGTTAATTGCAGTGGGAGAATGGAACTGATAAAATAAGATAGGCAAGACCTGTGGTACAAATTCGGTCTAACAGTGGCTTAGAGGAGAGGAGACTTTTTAGTATATTAGCATATACTGTTGGGAAACAGCATGACAGCTGTAGAAAGCAGCAGAGGGAAACAGTATGTGGTAGAAAGAAAGGCACAAGAAAAGCAGAGCTAAAAGACTAGGTAGGAAAAGAGGAGCAGTAGAAGAAAAGGAGAAGTGGATCTTAGTGGAGGCACTTGAAGGAATACAGACATTTGGCAAGAGAGCAGTGAGTGTGGATGACATAGATGCAGCATTCCCCCTTTCTGTGGAGAGGTCAGTTTTGAAGTATTGCACCTTCCTAGGTAGGGAGTGAAAGAAGTGTGTTTTACAGAAAAGATGGAGAACGCTTTTTATATATATATGGAATATATCCTTTTTCTTTTATATATATATATGGAAAAGGAAGTGAGCTCCCCTATAGCAAGGACAGTTTCTTTCCAGTGGTCTTTGTAGAAGGGAGAATGCCAAAACCGAGCCACAATACATGCTTAAAGCTAGAAGAAGGGAAAGGCAACAACCGCAGAAATATGGGATGTGGCTTGAAAGCCCTGTGAGCTTGTTGCAGAAGGCAGGTAACTCCTTCCTGACAATGTAAATGGGATCTCTGGGAAAGAGGGAGAAACTGGTGGTTTATTGGTATGTTACCAGAGTGGAGGGGAACAGTAAAAGGGAGTGGGTTAAAGCAAGTTGAATTAGCTACCGTAACTCAGTTGAGTACTAATTTTTCAGCATTAGTAAGGGAAAGCAATGGGGAAAAATGTAGTAGTCTTTTAGAAGAAGCAATAGGAGGATTTCACAAGGATGCTTATGGCAACTGCTTCCCATGAGAGTCTGCATTGCATGACCCACTTCCTACATTCACGTATTATAACCACCATGGAGGAATATATCACTTACTCTTCTTAATCCCAGCCCTCCGGTTACTTTTCAAACTCTGAAAGAGAATACTGTAATTTAGGTGGTCTTTTGTTTGTTGTCTTGGATTGTGGCTTACGTTGAAAATAATGTGTTTATATGGCTTTAAAAATGCCTGCCTTACAGGCAATCACAATTGTGTGTGTTGAAAATGACTGAGGTCACAAACAAAGGATTATGACTTCAGGTGAGAATTAAGTAGGAACAGATGGATTCTTAATCATCAAATACCTTAATTCTATGCATCATCCCTCCTCTAATGAAAAACAAGTAGAATATGAAGGACATACAGACTGAGTTTTTTGGTGTTTTTGTTTCTAGTGGATACTTTTCAGTATTTAAGCCATCATAAACGCAGAAAAAAAATAACCTTAAATATATCTATAATGATGTGCTTGTTAATGTTATTATGCCTGTTTTAGCCATTATTTTTGTCTAAAAAAAAAACAAAAACCTTCATGGTTTACAGGGCTTTCGTTACCTAAAGGAATTCTGTGAAAGAAAATCATACATGATGAATCTGAGGACTTGAGTTTTTTGCTATCTCTTTTCAGAGGTGCAAGTGAAGGCACATTTGCCATATTCTCTCTAAGAAAAACAACTAAAATATACTGTGCTTGCTCTTGAAAAATATTTAGTCTCTTTAGAATTAAATGTTTGATATTTACAGGTAAATCTCTTAGCTATCACAGTTCTGTTTCAGTTCTGGGTATATAATTCATTTCTGCACTTGGTAACAGGGTAATTTTATATACTACAAACAACAAAAATTTGTTTAGCTAAGCTCAAATACCCTTTGCTTCATTGTCAGGAGGCTCTAACCTAGTTCATCTCTTAACATCATGACAGTTCAAAAAACAGTACAACAAAACCCCATTTCCAGATAGTGTTTATTTTTGTCTGTCCTTATTGCATGGGTGGAGTGCTGGTAAAGGTCCGTTTTGAGCTGCTGGAAGTATTGTCATTAAATGACAAGTAAAAGGTCTGACCATTTGTAATTATTGGCTATTAACTCCGCTGCTCTTTTAGCAAAAGTATGAATTGATCCTTTTTTTGGCCACACTGCACCATAACTGCATTTTAATTTCCCACATTTCCCTATTTAGCCTCAAGTGAGCATAGAGTACTTTCTTTCAGTTTGCAGTTTCTCTCTCTGTGAAACGGTTGCTTGGCTGTCAATAATGGTGTCTGTGCAGGGAAGGGGGCAGTTCAGTGACTCCTCCGGGTGCCAGCCACACCAGAGACACAAATATGAGTAAATCCTGGAAACAGGAATTTTATTCAAATAAAACAGGAGAACTACCTCTCTTTTTGACTTTTCTGTCTTCATTGGAGAGAAAGAAAAAGGTGGGGTAATATATTAAAAGTGGAGCTTCATCTGTGGGCCCACAGTTTCAGGAGGCACAACCATCTCAAACAAATTCTACATTTTATGCAGCTGACGCAGGACGCCTTTGAGCTCTGGTGCTGCTGGAGCTGTAATCAGAGCCAAACAGGGATATTTGTTATTGGATACTGTGACCATTTTCTTAAGGGAGCAGGTCCTTGCAAATCAGTAACTGAAATTTTTCTCATCTTTTTTCCAATAGAAACCCTTAGAAGCAAAAGCACTGGACATAAGTGAGCCTTCCGATACAAAAGTGTATTTGAAAGTGTGAAAACAGTCATGAAACTTCTGCATTTAATGTGATTAAGTACCCTGTTTGTAGACACACAACTCACCTTTTTGTGGTGAATTCGTGGTGTGATGATTTGACCAGCTGCACAACCAGCTAACTCTGCTTTTTCAGGTTTAGAGGCCACATACCTGTTTCAGGAGATGGGGCCATTGATGAAGCACCTGGAGAACTTGCTCTGATGATGAATGGCAACAGCATGGGGCTAAGGTAATTTCTCTCTTCACTTCTAAGTACTTCACAGTGTCGGTATATCTTCTTGACAGTGTGCTGCTGGCTGCCAAGTGTATTTGTTCATGTGCTTGTTTCAGATTAAGAGCTTTTTTCTGCAGGAAAGATAAAAGTCATTGGCTGTTGCATTTTGAGTCAACTCAATAGTTATGCTGACCTGTTATTACTCAAGGTTGAGGAGCTGGCTTCCTGCAGAGGTCTCAGGTTTTGCGTGTCATTTCTTAAGGACACTAACCTAACCCAGTGCAAAATGGAGTTCTCACAAAATCTTAGTTTTTGTTCTTTGTTCTAGGTACTGCTTGTTAGTTTTTCAAGTAGAATCAGAAATCTCTTTAGTCTTGATTTGGACCTGATGTAAAAAATACATTATCCTTTAACTCCCAGATAGAAATGATCTTTTACAATTGGTGACAGTTACTTGTTTTTTTGAACAATACTGTATTGCACCTCTGCTTCAGTGAGATGAGAGCAAAGTACCACTGAAATAACTGGAAGTGGAGCGAAGCCAGTATTTAGCTCATTATCTCAGTTTTGCATGCTATTTAAAACTAATCAATACCTTATTGTGTTTTCTTTCTGTCCTACCCAGTCACATTTCCTGTTACCACTGGAATAAGATTCAGGCTTATTAAAAAAGCAACAAATAAAACCTGTGGATTTGACAGGGCTTCTCTCCCTCTCTCAAAAAGGAACAGCTTTTTATTCTGTGCTTTAGCTATAGCTGGTTTTTTGACCAAAGTATTCCCTGTCTGGTGGACAAGATGAGCAGCTGTCCTTCGAATGGCCTCTTTTTTAGTGACAAGAGAAGACTTTAAAATATTCAGCTTTTTTCTCCACTGTGCGAATACTGGAAGAACTGTAAATTTATTTATAAACTAAGGGTCCAATACTTCCATTTTTTCTTATTTTTTTAGCATTAAGCAATTCTGGTTATTTATTATTTTTTTTTATTTATATCTCTGTTCGCTGAAAGAAGGGGTAAGACTACTTTCTCCAGAACAACAGGAGTTGTTAGTTTCCTTGGAATACTTCACTGCTTAGCCAGGTGTTTGGCTGCTCAGAGTTACTGGCATATCCTCGTTGTACTCTGATGCTTTTTTGTTTCATTTTTACACAGACTGAAGTGAGCGAAGTCTGATCACTGTAGCAAAGGAGATGGAGAGTCATGATATGTTTAAGATAGAGTAGCATTAAGCTCTTTTGAAGAAAAATGTAACCTAGAACATCTGTAGGGCTTCTTGGCAACAGTTTACCAAAAACCTGCAAAAATCTGCATAGTCTAGCAGGAAAATGAGGAAAACCTGTGCTGTTAACAAAATGAGAGTTCCAGATTTCAAAAGGTTCCCCACCCTCTCTTCAATCCCTGGTTTAATGTACTGTAATTTTTCAAAGTTAGTATGTGTTCGTGCAGTCTCAGGTTGCCATGCCAGCTGGTCCCGAAGTTTGGCAGCAAAACACTTGGAAGTTTTTCTTCCTATATGCCATCTTCAGTTTCGCAAAGGTTACCAGATGAATGCTCCCTAAATAATTTACTCTAATGTAAGGCTGAAAGAGGCTACGGAAGACAAGTCCATTTGTCTCTTTTATGCATTTGAATATGTAAGTGTTGTTTTCTTCAGTATCAAGAGAGAGTATGCAAGTGTGTTGCTACAGCTTAGAAAGGAGGAAGAGCTGGTAGGAATACTTCCTTTTTTTAACAGCTCCTTTTCTGTTATTTTGGGTTTTTTGTTTTGAGTGTTGGGTTTTTTTTTTTGGTTGTTGTTATTTGGTTTCTAATTGACCTGCTCTTGTTATCAGAACCCTAATGGAAAACCAGCCCTCTCTGACTTCAGTTCATACATGAGAGCTCCTCTGGCAAACCTCACAGCATGAAACTTGATTTCAGTCGTCAAATAAGTAAAACTTAAAAATATCCTGGTATTTTAAAGGAACTGGTGAAAGTCCTTTAAAATACTAAACTTGCTGAACTGAGATATTGGAGTTTAGAAGTAAAATAAATAATATAATCAAGAACTGAAAAACATAGGTTTTTTTATAATTAACAGCTCATTTTGAGTTAATTATCTACAATTACGAAAATCTAATTGCAATTTATTCTCTACTATCTGTGGGAAGAATCGTAGGCAAGGGAATATGCATCACTGCCAGGCATAAATGCTATAGGATAGGTACAAATAATAGAGGAGCCCTTAATGAAAAACAGAAAGCAAATAGGACCGTGCAGCTGTGCCAGGCTATTGAAAGGTAATTGTAGTCAGAAATGAGATGTGTACTTTAAAAGGCATCTTGTCGTCTCCTGTAGGGATTAATTTTTTCCCTCCTTGAAAAAGGAAAAAACGATTCCACGAGAAAATACAGTACAGAGTTTGATTTTTAGTACAGATTTTGGTCATAGTGTGTCTGTGAAAAGGAAAACTTATCTTGGGGACTACTACAAACTATAGCCAAATTTGCTAATGGATGCCTATTTTCTTTCCTCTTCTAAATGTGCCATTATGGTTTTCTCATTATCAAAGTCAGTAAGCATTGTCCATTGCAGCCACTTTGGATGGTCCCGCTATGAATTTGCAGTGTTGAATTTGTCTCTTCCCTGCTGGGTATGTTGAGGAGCTGTTGGGAAGAAATGTGTCCATCCCTTTGCCTTCCAGCAGCTGGGCCGACGTGTGGGACCTGAAGAGTCTTCAGATGCAGAAACTCCAGTTCTCTGAGGTGCAGCAGTCAGAGCAGGTTTTATTGAGGATGGTTTTCAGTAGCTTGGAGTGCTCCTAAGTGAGCCCACAGCCAATTTTCAGCTATGGAGATAGTAACTTGTACAATTAATGGCAAGTTGTCTGGTTGTCAGTATAATTCCTTTTCAAGTCTGCCCCAGTGTGCAAGATGCTTTAAAATATTCAAAATAAAAACATAACCTGATGTATTTGTTTAGCATAAAACAGCCTTTTACAAAGCGCTTTCCATCTCCCAGACACAGATGCTTGGTACATGCTCAAGTACCCACTCCATGCGTATTCAGTAGGATCAATACACCCGGCACCTGCTTTTGTGTGTGCTCCTGACGTCTGCATCTGGGAGAGGAATTTTAAAACAATCCACTCTTCTCTCCTTTATTTAATCTTAGCTGTGGATCTGGATGTCATGGAAATAATTCCTATTTAATAGCACCAACTAGAATAATACTGGTTGCTACTTTGCAAGCCCCCCGTCCAGAGTTCTGCTGTGTGCCTAAATCTTACCATATGAGGTACCCTGCTTTTCTGATTCTTAGGTTTCCTATATGGCTCTGCTAGTACAGCTTTCTACTGCCTTCTCTCTAACGTGCATCTTTTCCTCAAATTTCACACAGTACTGCCACTGCACCTCTACATTGACCTGTGCAAAATGTTATAAATAGGAATTGTTGGATACAGCAGCTATCGGATGGGTTTACAGTTATCTGCAGCACTCTTTCAATGTATGCTACCTGCTTAAAGGATTTCTTTCCTGGAGTATTAAAGATTTGCAGGTGGAATTTGCCACCTTTAATTTTGTTGAAGGCTCCTCGTGTTTGTGTGCTTCATTCTATACCACCCGTGTGTATTTTTTCGAGTTGGTATTTTTAGTTAGTTGAAAATATCAAACACAGATTTCACCAGTACTTTCCCCCTATTTGAATGCTTATTGCTATGGTGATAGTTCCAGGAGGGAATGCTGTCAGGGGTCTTTTAAAAGACTTTTATGTCTATGGTGTAACTATTTTTATTATCTTGTGAGAGAAGGTGACAATTATCTCTTGCTCCTTGTTTAATGCTTTGTTATGAACTTGATTTTTTTGCGGCTTGTTAGACATGCAGGCATCTTTCTGTGGTGATGTGCAAGCATACTTCTGTGTTCTTGTCCAAATATTCAGCGCAATTAAATAGACGTGCAGAGGAATGCAGACTTGCAGCTCCCCCTGCTGTCCCAGGCATATCCAGGTTTGTTCACACAATCCCCCCTTCCAACTAATTTAAAAATAAATAAAAAGCACATGCAATCGCACAGCTCTGCCACCTCTGACCGGCCTTGCGCTGGCCCAATTACTCCCGTTTTGGAAGGGAACTGTTATTTAAAAACTGGTGGCAATGGTAGCACCCATTTTATTTCCTATTTGGAGTTTTCTTGTCAGTTTTTCTTCATGCTGGCGTGTGTCACCTCCTGTTACTCTTGTCCTGAGCCTCTGAAGGAGAAACCATCACCAGTGTCGTAACTGGCTGGTTGTCCAAGACCTCCCAGGCTTCAGGTCATCTATGAGTTGTCCTTGGTCTTTTGAGGTGCATCTATATAGTACTTGGCCAACTTTTAGGACTGCATTGAATACAGTTTGCTGGGATATTTTTTCATCTGTTTGCTGTTTTGGCAGACTGGCACATTAAATAGGGCTGAAATCAACTGTGCTTGCAAATGGCCCATAAAATCTGTGTATCTGGAAGCTGCTTACCCACGTGTTAGTGCTCCTTTACCGCCCAAGTTACTTTCTTGTTCCAGATAATTTTACGTTGAAGTTTGTGTAATTTTTAGATAGGATATTTGTGGAGCGAACACTTGTTTGTCTGATTAAAAAAAAAAAAAAAGTGCTTGCAGATCTGCAATAGCGCAAATGCTGAATTAGGTACAGATACGAGTTTTTCTTTCTCTCATGGCGTTGTCTGGTTATATATATAGGCACAGCATCCCTTCAACAGATGGCTGGCTGGAGTCTGTTGTGATGTAATGGGAGAGTATAGTCAGGGTTAGATACACATTTTTGGTTCATTAGTGCCACGTGCAGACTCCGAAGGTAGTAGGTTTTCTTGTGCAGGGTGAAGGCTTTTGTTCTGATATGGTTACTAAAAGCTTACTGCTGAATGGGCGTGGGGGAGTGGCAATTTTTTACATATTATCTGTGCATACAGGATTTTTTTTTTGTCAGGATAGGCATTGATTCTTATCGGACTGGGGAGCAAAGAGTTCATTTCTGCTGA